ACATCACCCATGTGGTCAGGCCTGCTCGCTCAGCCCCTTACCCCTCTGGCACTTGAAAACCTTTCAGGACAGAGACCACACAACCTCTCCAGGCAACGTGTTCACTGCTTGACTGTCCTCATGGTGAAAGAGTTTTTCCTTTTATTGAGTTGGAACTTCCCTTGGTTCAGCTTTTGCCTGTTACCTCTTGTCCTCCCATGCACCACTGTTTTACTTTTCTTCCCTACTTTCATGCCACACCTTCCTTTTCATCTGCCCAACCTTTTTTTTTATTTTCTCCTGCTATTACATTACCTATCAAAATCTCTCTCTTGCTTTGGCTTCCCCTTCCTCTACTTACTTTAAACTTCTTATTCTCCTGGAAACCTCCTCTTCCCAATACACATCTCCCATTTACTCTTGGCTTCTTTCCAGCTGTACTGGATTATGGAGTAACCCTCCCCATGCTGCATCACATTTAACACTCACTCAGAGCATATTTTTTGCATAAAATTAAAAATAGTTAAAACTTTACACTGCCAAATTCTGTTAGGTAAAATTTCTCTATCAGGAAATGGGTAGGAATTTTCTTAATTAAAAATAAATTTGATACAGGATTTCAGAATTTGTCCCATTAAACCTCCTTCTGTCTCCAGCAGAAAACTTAATTTTCAATTTTTCTATGCCCTTCTTTGATATCCTGAAAGCTTCAGATCACATTATTATTCAGTAACACCTGTACCAGCCTTTATCCTAGTATCTCACCCAAAATTATAAGTTAAAATGTGTGCATTTTTGTGGAACTATGTTAGTTAGATAATGTATTAAGTGTATTCTAACAAATGACTCAGAAGATTACCCTGAAAAGCACGCCACAAACAAGCAGCAATTAAAATAATACTTTGTTTGAATAAAGATCACAGATATCATATCCTACGGAATTAGTACCATAAAAATGCATCTGAATGGCAAATAGGTTTTAGCCTACAAACACAATTTTTTTCTCTTAATTGCACATACGTGTATACATACACTTGTTTTTGTAAACATGTGTTCATACCATGCCATTCTTGATCTGTCAATACAATTCCTGCTATTTTGGAAGCACATCCTATTCATCAAAATACTTTTGAAGTTTGCAGTGAATTCAAAATAGTAAAATAATTTATCAGAATTCCATTTTCACTTTCTACACAGCAATGGCTTGACTGTCCTGACAATTCAGTATGGTTCTCCCTGGCATTTTTAGTATCTCATAACAGAGATGTTTCTACCCCTGTAAACACAAGAAAAATGAAGTAAGTACTGCCAAGCATTTAGTTCATTCATGCTCAACAGAATGAACTGAAATTGTTATTCATATAAAATAGGTAACCAAAAATATCTAACTTTTTTTTTGTTTACCCATTCCACATTTCTCTCTAGCCACAAAAACCAAAAGCCAAACTTGACACTGCCTGTACCAATATTAGTATACAAGAAAGAGGGGAAGATTTTGTGGTAGAAGACAAGGAAGAGGCTTGTTTTCACCTGACAATAACTATTCTGAGGAGTACCTCCCCACCTACCAGTCTATTTCTTTGCCTCACAGCCGAGAACAGCCACTGGTTAATGAGCATGCCCATTAAAATGCAGCCTACCTCGAGTAAGATATCTGTCCTTTGACAAACAATGTTTATGTCAATTTTTATTTTTTTTTAATAAAAAGTCACATGTGTTCTTCATATAACACAAAACATAGTACGTAGCTCCCAACAGTCATAAACAGTTTGAAGGCATTACAATATTTTTGTCGGCACTTGCAAAACACAATTGTATGTACATCAGCAGATAATTACTTAGCTAAACGTGAGAGCAAAATATCCAAATCTACAAGTGCACACTCTTGTGAAAAAGTCATTGCAGAAGAAAAGAAAAAGGAGGAGGAAAGAGAGTCAAACTCTAAGTTACAAACTTCTACTGAGAAGCACCATTTAAAGTTTACATGTTGGAACTAGAGTTCAAAGATACCTACCCCAAGGGCAATAGTCCTAATGGAAATTTTGTAGGATGTTTTGTATTAGCCTCATCTTAACTACCTTTCTAGATGAGTCACCCTTATTGTAAGATGATGTTTTCTTATTTCACGACTATTAAAATATGCAAGTGCCACCTTGTCTGTATACTCTACAAGTTCATACCTGCTTAACTAAAGAAAAGCATTAAATTTACTGTTTATAAAACAAATTATGTTAGGACTCAGACTTTCATAATACAGTTGTAAAAGAGACTTGAGAAAGTAAGCAAATTAGTAAGACATGTTTTAAGAACAGTCTCAAAAGATAAATGACTCAATAGCCTGTTTACATTAGTCAAATGGTTCTTTGTACTGCATTGATTATGAATGATATATACATAAGAAAATATCTAAAGTACAAAAATCTGTTTTTCTTACTTCCACCTGATTCAAATTTAGAAAGCTGAATTCTCAGTCATTATGTTTCATTAGGCCAGCAGTTAAAAATCTAGCTGTGCTTCTATGAAACATTTGGGGCTTGTTACTTAAGTAGAATTACATTTGCAATATAGGTGACTAAAGAAACAAACAGTCTCATAATTATAATCACATGATTAACTGTATTTTTTCAGACATCATTTAATTGCCAAACATATATTATCATAATCATTTTTCTTGTATTTCATTTGATTAATTACAGAATTATAATTTAATATATGGACAACAGACAGAAATGCAAGAGTACCTAAAAAATAAACAGAATAGCAAAATAACATGTCAAACTGAACCTGTTCAGGTTCACAAGGAACCTGTTCCTTAGCAAAACTGTCTAGAGGTACAAGTGTAACCTTAATATTCTAGCATAAAAATTTAAATACTTAAAGTTCTGTTGAAGTTCATAATTCAAAGCAAAAAATGGACTATTTGAAACCAGAAAGTGAACAGTTGGATGAATAATTCTCATCAAAACAAATATTTTTAATACAGCTGAAATGGATTTTCTAAATAAAACTAACAGGTTAACATAAAAGATAACTGTCATCCCCTGAAGCTGAAGGAAGCCAAGTTTCAGTCGCTAATAAATATAATTGTAGATGACATGAAATTTGGAACTGTGGCCACAAAATTAAATGTCTACACTCAAAAGTTTGTCATCACTGCTGAATTCATCCAGTGATAAAATGTGTACCCAGCAAAGTAAATTGGATCACTTAATAATAAAGAAATGAGTTGTGAAGACTGGAACAGTAGTAGGAAGCCAGTGTGAGGCCAGTGCCCTTAGTACCCTACAACCTCCCAGCCCATACATTTAGCTTCTGGGACATCTCCAGAGGACCTTGATAGCATACAAGGTGGCATGCCGAGAGCTGGTACCTTGCAAGTCAGCCTTACAGTGTCTTACAGGACTTACCCTTCAGGCACAGGACTGTACTATCCAGTGCGTAGTGCTGCATTTAGTCCTGTGTCCTCTTCAACGTGACATAAAGAACAACCATCATGTAGACCACCACATCCCACAGGTAACACCATTTATACCCAAAGTGATATATAGTGTCAGGAAGAGGCACCCTCTTCTCCATACAGGTAGGAAAGATTGCTGCCAGCTATGCTCAGCAAGGTTACAGACATACTAGCAGCAAGTGCCAAGCAAAAGTAAAAGAAAAGGCTTTTAACAAGGCAAAAGATAGTGAATTCCACACGTGAAGGCAGGTATTCCTGCCATAAATATGCCTTTCTGGACTTCATGGCATCTCATTATAATCCCAAAGAAGGAAAAGGAAAAGGGAAGGAAAGAAAAATGAGGAGGTAGATATCCAGAACACCGATCCCTGAGGATGCCTCTAAGGGGGAACAGTATCTGAAAATCCACAGCCACGTGGGTCTCGTGCGAGCCATGAATAGTAGATTAGTACAGCATGTTTTCTCTCTAAACCAATCAGAATCAGCGGAAGGTCCTTCCTCTGTCCAGAGACTGTCACTGAAACCATCAGAAGAAACGTTGCATGCCATTTTCTTGCCGTGATTGTTTCTCTGTCAGTCTCCATGACACCAGCAGGTCCATAACACAGAAGCTCACAAACAGCAGTGAGTAGCTACCACACAGCAGACAGCTAAGTTGTGGGAGAAACTACAAAAGGGTAATGACAAGTAGGAGCACTTCATATAGTAGTGGGTTCTGAAGTCTTGAGAAAAGCAGACACTGTGATAAAGTCAATTATGTAGCTAATAGGAAAGGCCCAACTGAGCATGCCTTGGCTTGTAGGATGGTTGCCATTCTGGAAGGTGACCTGTCCTCACAGGTTTCTCATAGGCGCAGCACAACAGAGCACAATATAGCTATTAATATTACTTCTGTAAAACTAGCAACCATAAGACTGAATGATGCAACGTGGAGATAGAACAGGATGATGCTCAATAGGACAAAAATATATTTTCCCCTTAAATATGCTTTCCTTTAAGTGTGGCATGAACTGTGAATAACATGCTTGCCTAATATTAATTTACATGGCTCAGCAGTTCACTACAAAAATGTCATGTTATACCAACCTGAAGATACGGAATTTGAAGCCTTTTGAAGGGCACAGAATAGATAAGGCACAACACTCAAACTGCAGACTTGGAGTGCTAACAGCGTCTATTCAAAACATCATTAAAGATAATTAATTATGTAAGATAAATCTGTTATAGGGTGACTTAATTAGCTATGGAGGACTCATTATACTACTTGCATAAGGAGTAAAGAACATGTATGGCTTCCGCTTTCTGAACTCACGCAATGCACCAAAAAGCAAATCTAAACTTCAACAAACTTAAAGTACAGTTCTTCATACACACCAGGCATAAAGACTAGTGTGGTTACTGAAGCAAATACATTGCATGCTGCCACAGTAACAGAACATTAGATGGGTAAAGATCAAGCGATTAGCCTGATTTACCACCACGAAGGTCTTCATTTTTACTTTAAGCTGGATGGATGAGGAGAAGGCTGAGGTACTCAACAGCTTCTTTGCCTCAGTTTTCACTGGCAGTGTCTCTTCCCACACCTCTCAAGGGAATGGCCTGCAAGACTGGAGGAGCAAAGTCCCTCCCACTGTAAGAGAAGATCAGGTTCATGACCACCTGAGGAATCTGAACACACACAAGGCTATGGAACATGATGAGGTGCATCCCAGAGTCGAGGGAATTGGCTGATGTAGTTGCCAAGCCACTATGACATTTGAAAAGTCCTGGCAGTCAGGTGAAGTACCTGCAGACTGGAAAAAGGGAAACATTGCACCCATTTTTAAAAAAGGTAGAAAGGAGGACCCTGGGAACTACCAACCTGTCAGCCTCACCTCTGTGCCTGGGAAGATCATGGAACAGATCCTCCTAAAAGCTATGCTAAGGCACATGAAGGGCAGGGAGGTGATTCGAGACAGCAAGCATGGCTTCAGAAAGGGCAAGTCCTGCCTGACCAACCTAGTGGCCTTCTGTGATGGAGTGATCATCTCGGGGGACAAGGGAAGAGCTACCAGTGTCATCTATCTGGACTTCTGTAGGCCTTTGACATGGTCCCCCACAACATCCTTCTCTCTCTCTAAATTACAGAGATATGGATTTGATGGGTGGACTGTTCGGTGGTTGAAGAATTGGTTGAATGGTCGCATCCAGAGGGTAGTGGTCAATGTCCAGATGGAGATCGGTGGCGACTGGTATCCCTCAGGGGCCCGTATTGGGACCAGTACTCTTTAATATCTTCATCAGTGACATTGACAGTGGGATAGAGTGCACCCTCAGCAAGTTTGCAGATGACACCAAGCTGAGTGCTTTGGTTCAGACACCTGAGGGACAGGATGCCATCCAGAGGGACCTGGACAAGCTCGAGGAATGGGTCTGTGTGAACCTCATGAGGTTTCAACAAGGCCAAGTACAGGGTCCTGCACCTGGGTCAGGGCAGCCTCCGGTATCAATCCAGGCTGGGGGATGAAGGCATCGAGATCAGCCCTGACAAGATGGACTTGGGGGTGCTGGTGGATGAAAAGTTGGACATGAGCCAACAACATGCACTCGCAGCCCAGAAGGCCAACCGTATCCTGGGCTGCATCCAAATAACTGTGGCCAGCAGGTCGAGGGAGGTGGTTTTGCCCCTCTACTCCCCTCTGGTGAGACCCCACCTGGAGTCCTGCATCCTGCTCTGCAGCCCTCAGCACAGGAAAGACATGGACCTATTGGAGCGGGTCCAGAGGAGGGCCGCAGAAATTATCAGAGGGATGGAACACCTCTCCTGTGAATAAAGGCTGAGAGAGTTGGGGTTGTTCAGCCTGGAGAAGAGAGCGCTCCAGGGAGACCTTATTGCAGCCTTCCAGTACTTAAAGAGGGCTTATAAGAAAGATTGGGACAGACTTTTTAGCAGGGTCTGCTGCAATAGGACAAGGGGTAATGGCTTTAAACTAACAGATGGTAAATTTAGACTAGATATAAGGAAGAAATTTTTCACAATGCAGGTAGTGAAACACTGGCACAGATTACCCAGAGAGGCAGCAGACACCCCATCCCTGGAAATATTCAAAGTCAGGTTGGATGAGGCTCTGAGCAACCTGATCTAGTTGAAGATGTCCCTGCTTATGGCAGGGGAGTTGGACTAGATGACTTTCCAACCCAAACCAGTCTGTGATTCCTTGATGACTTATGAGATTATTGAAGCCTGTATATACACCAGAACATGGCAATTCATTTGCTTGAAGGTTGCAGTATTGTTTCAGGTTTATAATTTCTTTGTATGAAATCATATTGTGTGTTACATAAAATTAGCATAGAATACTATAAAAACATTAAGCAAAATATTTCAAAATATTACTGATCTACTTGTGTCTCTTAAATAATCTATAAAGAAGAAAGGATAGCACTGATTAAAAGAATACAAGGTGTCACCTTTAGAGCACAGAAACCATTTTTTCCACATTGTATTCATTCCTAGTTTCCCCACAAAAAGCATGACAACTCAGTTCCCACATTCACAAGAACTGCTCTGAAATGATGCAGATATATGGGGAAGGAGGCATAAGCGAACTGGACAGCTGAATGATGGGAGCAGGGTGCTCTCTCCTTCTCTAGGCTACATAAAGCAACATACTTTACATAAGGTGTCCATGTGGTTTTTTCCTTGCCCACTAGAGAAGAACGTTATCTAGTAAAGGATCAAATAAACTGCAAGAAGATGAACGAGAACTTTTAAAAATATAAATCAACACTGGTTTTTATTTTTCTTTTCCTTTAAAGTTCATACAACCTCAGGACATCCTGGAGGTTCTCTGAACTAACTCTTAAATATTGAGTAGTACCAAATGATATGGTTCAATAAATTGGCCTTTGCATTGCAGAAGTAGTGCAGGCTACAGTTAAGTTCAAGGAAAGTGGAAATGAAAATGGATCTACTTGATCCAGTAATGACTGATAAGTTGCCATTAAATATTGAGAACACACATAGTAAATAAATATGAAAAATACACAGGAAAAAGGAAAATAAGATCAAAGTGAACACAGAACTATGAGTTTACTGAGATTTTTTCCAAGTTGAATATTGAACCTTTTGTCAAGGTATGATCAACACAGTAAATTCACCAAGCTGATTCATGGCATTTACATCATTTTATGCTGGCATTAAAGGCTTCACCAAGCTTGACTGACAGAAGTACAACAATTCTTGTTACAGCAAATATTTACAAATACTGTAACAAAACAGCACATCCAAGCATCTGAAGTAGCCTTCTGCATGTCCTTATTAATGTTACCATCAGAGGGAATTTTTCTTTGACAGTCTCTGCTATACAGATAATACCTAAAATTACAGATAATACTTAAAATTAAAAGAAGTCTGCACTGTAAAAGCATGCACACACTCTATTAGAATTAGGAATTCAATGAGATCAGTGTAATGGGATCTATATTTAGACTGGAAAAAAGAACTTCATTTTTTTATATAATTACTTTTGCACTTCTCAAAGATTGGAAGCTTCCCTTTTTTCCATTGATCTTTCATTCAGGTAAAGTATTGGTTCCAATTCCTATTCATCAAGGAGATAAAATCATTGCTTAATTTTATATCATACTGTACCATGAAATCCCTCTTTTGCATACTGATTCATTCTATTAACTACTTTTTTGTCTTATGAGTCATTTTGCTCATATGACAACCACAATAATATTTGAGCGTTTAAGCTTTATATTCAAACTGAATTGTTTTATCCAAGGGAAGATCACTTAAAATTAAATGAAAACTGCTACGTACTTTTCCAAGAACACAAGAATTTCAGGAAATTTAAAAAAAAAAGCTTTGATAAGTTCTTGAGTTTGCCCAGTGATTATCTAAATTTTATTTGTGAAAAACTCTTAATGTCAGAATGAATTCTGTTTGCATAAAGTTTGTAAATATCCAGTAGCTATCAAAAAATAAGTGGACAAAATAGAGAAAATTCATATTTTGAAAATGATTTTCCAGTTTAAGTCAGATTACACCCCCATTTTTAAAGCTTCCTATAAGCTTGAATAAGTTAAAAATACTGTTCTGAAAATATTAGCCCAAATAATTTGAGATGAAATTTTCTTTTCAGTAACTCAGTAAAAGCTGATGGAAAATAGCAGTTATAAGCCAAGAGATGCTCATATTTGCAATCTCTGCTGAATGAATCATTCCTAGGAAATCAAGGACAGACAGTGTCCCTTCCAACCTTCCAGCTTTGTAATAAAAAACCTGAAAATCCTAAGAATACCCAGGCTTTCCAGATGTATAAATGGAATTTTCTGTATTTCAGTTTGTGTCCATTGGCATTCCCTTTTTGTTTAACACCACTGAGGAAGAGTCTGGCTCCATCTGCTGCACTCCGCCTCATCTGGCATTTATTCACATTGCTAAGATCCCCCTGAGTCTTCTCTTCTCCAGGAATAACAGTCCAAGCTCTCCGAACATCTCCTCATAAGATAGATGCTCTACTACCTCAATCATCGTCATGGCCCTTTGCCTATCTCCAGTATGACCATGTCTCTCCTGCACAAGGGAGCCCAGAATTGGACCCAACACTCCAGATGTGACCTCACCAGCACTGAGAAGAGGGGAAGTATCACCTCCCTCAACCTGCTGGCATCACTCTGCCTACCGTAGCTGTTGGCCTTCTTTGCTACAAGGGCTCATTGCCAGCTCCTGCTCAACTTCTTATCCACGAGGACCCCCCCAGGGCCTTTTCTGCAGAGCTGCTTTCCAGCTGGTCAGCCCCCAGCTTGTAATGGTGCCTGGGGTTATTGCATCCCAAGTGCAGGAGCTTGCACTTCCCCTTGCTGAATCCCATGAGACTCCTGTTCACCCATTTCTCCAGAAGGTCAAGGACCTTCTGAATGGCAGCACAACCACCTGGTCTATCAACCACTCCTCCCAGTTTTACATCACCTGCAGACTTCCTGAGGGTGTGCTCTGCCCTGTCATTCAGACCATTAGTGAAGATGTTAACCAGCATTGACTCCTTGTCAAAAGCGTCGGGGCTCCAGCTGGACTTCACTGTTTGAGCCTGGTGGTTCAGCCAGTTTTCAGTCCACCTCACTTTCCTAGTCTGTCTTTCATTAGTTTGTCAATGAGAACGTCATGGGACAGCGTCAAAAGCCTTGCTGAAACCAAGAAAAAACATATCCATTGCTCTCCACTTACCCTGCAAACTTTCTACAATGAAATGACTAGCTATGGGGTTGGTCAGGCATAATTTCCCCTTTTTAATTCATGCCAATTACTCCCAGCCACCTTCTTGTCTTTAATATGTTTGGAAATCCTAAGCTTGAAAGCTAGAGTGTAACAGAAGAATCCTACTCAAAACAAGATTTACAAAAATTCCAGGCCTCCAGCTATGGAGATGAAAGCTCAGTCCCTGTCAAAACCAGAACTTCCAAGGTCTCTCAGCCCTATCTCTTTGATAGGTGCCTGAAAAATTCAGTCAGGTAGTTCTAGAAATGCATATAATATGCCATATTTGCCCACTGTAATAACCAGAAACTTTAAACTTGGTGCATTCCTAGAAGTCTAGAAAAGCAGCATGCAGAATACCATAGCGTGCTCTGGATTGTATGTAAACTTTCTAACTTGTCTACAGTGACAGAGCTGAGCTCAGCATGGTCTAATTTATCCAAACCAGAAGGTAAAACCAATATTGACCTGTAACAACACATGAGCCACCAAAGCGAACAAGTAGCCAGTCACTCACTATGCTCTAATAGGACATGGTTTTTGCTCTGTTTTTCTTAAATAGGAACCACACTTTCTAGATCTGGAAAGATTTTTTTAATCCAAAGGGAAGTCCCTTTCTCTTCACCAGTTTCCAGGCTTTTATCCCTCAGTTTTCAACAAGGAGTCAAGCAAGAGTCCCCTGAATCAGTGCCTATGAGTTCACAATAATCAGTGTGCTCATTATACAGTACTTAGGAGTTCTTCCTTCCCACATTGTTTTTAGATTGAGTCAATCCAGATAAAGACTAAATCTCGTCTTTATGTTAAGCTGCTATGAAACCACTGCTGCCGGTACAGGAAAAGGTTAAAAACCAGTTCAACAGAGTATTTATAAATTAATGCAATACCACAATATCATATAATTGCTATATCAATTGAGGTAATAAGTTCCTGTGTGTAGAAGAGTGAAGAGTCCTAAAGAGTTCACATTTAATTTTCAGTCTACTACTTAGGTTAGAACATTGGAACATACTCAGGACTGAACTGGAAATGAAAGAAAAAAAATTGTTTATTCCTTATAAAGCCATTCAAAAGTAATCTCTGTTTGACTCTGCAATACACACAGCTTTTTTTATTTCCATTTCTCTATTCTAAGAGAAGTAAATAAAGGTAAATAATGCATAATATAAATATTCCATAGAACAAGCTAAAACAACTTGCATAAGCACATTTTGTTCATCATAAAACTTTTCTTAACGACATTTAAAACTACAGCAAACAAGATTCTAAATTAGACTCAAGAATATGCAAACTGACAGCCACAAGGACGAACACATACCCTTAATAATCGATTCAGCTGCATACAGATCCCGCTTGTAGGTCACCTAAAGGACAGACAAGCCTCATTAGATTTAACACAGCAGGAAGGAATGTAAAAGCAATAAAACGATGCCCTGAAGGCAATTCTTTACATTTGAAATACCATAAACAAATGATATTGTCAATTTCTTAATTCTGGAAAAGTACACTGGCAAGTCATGAGAAGAGAAGTTGCAGAAATTACTGGAGACTCAAGAGAAACCTTTTTTAAAATACTTCAATCTGCTCAGAACTCATTTGAAACCTAAAACTATTTTTAACCCTTTGAAGAATCATAAAAACATGATATTGCATCTATTTTCACACATCCATTTTCATAATTCCTTAAAAAACGTATTTCTACTCCAATTTTACCATGAAATAGATTCATTTTTATAGAACTTGTGATCATATAAATGACAGCCAGGGAGAAGCCTCATTATTTCTTTCTAATATAGGTGTAATTTTTCAGTAAGGCAGGACTATTATTGTTAATGAGAGTCCAATTAATCAGTGGGCGTCAGTGAGACTATAGTAGGCTTTGTATGAGCTTTCAGAGGATTAAAACCATCACGATCTTCTTAAAGACATTATTCAGATCAAGTTAAATGGACAATAAGATGCTGAATATTTACTTGGTACTTGCAAAAAACTACTTTCATATCTGCTTTTATACCCTTATGGTGGTTAACTATCCCAGTACTAGGCTTTGCAAATAAAATAACAGAAAACTAACGACAGCATCCACCCAAGACACTAACAGTCTTTGCTAGCAATGTTTTTGCAATGACATGCAATGACATGAACTGATATTAACTCCTAAATATTTGTCTTTGTTTTTACTGTAACTTCCTTTTATGTTAAATAAAACATTACTAGATTTTCTGCATTTGTTTCTCTAGAGTCTGAATGATTTTATTCTTTCTTTTGGAAATGGACTGAATAGGTTTCCAAAAGCTTTAGTGCTGCAAACGTAAATCTTACAGCAGAAACATACTATTGTAGATATCAACATTTTAGTCTCCAAGTAAATGATTATTTCATTTTAACATAAGGATTCTTGTAACCACTTTCCTTTCCATCTCATAAATTAAGCTATGTATTGTAGTCAGAAACAGATTAATAATATTACCTTTCCCATTACTCATCATTTCTCCAATGAATGCTATTCTTTTAAAATTAAAAATTAACTTACTCTGATACAGTTTGTCCTGCAGGAGAAGCAGCCAGAGAATGAATCTAACCTGCAAAATCTTAGGTGTCTGAGTTTATATACAGTTGGGAAGAATCAGTGTCTTGAATTTTAAGGATAAAGAATCATTGAGTCACCAATTCTGCTGTAAGGCTTCTTCCTAATTACCTGTTTCGAGAGGGCTTTTATACTGACCTTTCAGTAACAGATTACCACCTAAAAACCTTTTTAAGAAACAAGACAATCTAAGTGTTGTCAAAAGTAGTCTCACATATTCTAAGGTTCACAATCTGCTTAAGATGCAGAAGTATTTTTAAATAGTCTGATTTTAAAAAGAAGTTACTTCATAAAGGAGGCCCAGTCTTCAAGAAAACAGCATAGAAGAATAAAAAAATTAAGAATAGAGCTTTAAAATCACTTCTGACATTCTGAGCCAGACATCAGCAAATACCTTTTAGGGTGGTTTCCTAGAGAAACAAATCATCTGAGACCATATCACACTACCCATATATATTTCTTCCATAATCTTTGATCCTACAAGCTAATTTCAGATACAAGCTCCTATATGCTTTATGAAAATAGCAAAGTCAACAGAAAGAAAAACCCTGCCAGCTACCACAAGTGACCACCACCTACAAGGCAGGGAGGGAGGGATTCTCTACACCTCTTCCAATGTTGAGTAAGATGCTAAATCCAACCAAAGTTTCTCTTAAGGTATGGATATTCATAAGGTCTCTGGATTTTCTTGTGTGGTTTAAGAGGTGTTCTTGCAATTTAGATGAGACTTATTCAAAAGGCAGGCAGCCACAACAGAGACACCCTTTGGTTTAAATCTAGCTATTGATTGTTTTAGTACGAATTTGTTTTAAACAACTTCTAAGGCTAGTCAACACAGCAGTTTACTGTGCTGAGCAGCTATACTGCTTTATCTCTAGTTTCAGAAAAGTAGTTTCACAACTATCTCTAGTTGCACAAAAGTGCATTCTAGGCTCACCCCAGCCGGAAGCAATTCAGACCTAGCCAAATCAGCCAGAAAGAATACTTCAACTGCCACTCTATACCAGTAAGTAAGATGGCACTTTCCACTTGTGCAGCCCAAGTGAGGTGCAAAAACTTTTCTCTGGAAGTGTTCAAGAAACGTGTGGATGTGGCGCTTCACGACATGGTTTAGGGGACATGGTGGTGCTGGACTAATGGTTGGACTTGATGATCTTGAAGGTCCTTTCCAACCTAGTGATTCTGTGAAAATCACAGTGAAAAAATAATATGCAAGAAAGATGACACACAGGAGTTCTCTCGCAGCTTGCAAAAGAAAGATCTTCCACCTCATACATTTGGGGTTTTTTATATCCCATTTCTCTACGCTAAATCTCTACAGACTTAAATTACCCTTTAATCTTCTTTTTCATGGTCTTCTCTGAACCTTCTCTATTTCTCAACAGTTGCACAGAGCTTGAGTCCAGATTTGACCATACTATTCTACATGCACTTGTAATACTAGAACATCTTTTTCTAATTTCACATTCTTGTTGCTATATCCGGAGCTGACATAAGGTATTTTGCCCACAGAGGAAACTTGCTATCCTCTGTGACTCCTACACCACTGTCACGGTCACTGCCTTCCTAAAACAATTCACTTAATATGGCCTATACTTTGTTTCTAAAAACACTTCTTTATATTTGGCTGCAATGAAAAGCATACCTTTTGTTTACACTGTTTGCTAAGCAATCCTAATCAATATGTTACTTCTAA